TCAAGAGGTGCTGAAAGATTCTACTGTCAGCTTCCCTGAAAACTTCAGTGCATTTGCTGCCTTTGGCTTTCACCCGGTAGGGGCAGGTGTTCCATGGCTTCCCTCTGGAGCGCAGATAGGCATCCCAGCCAACTTCAACAGCACCACTGATGATCCATCGGGCATCACCAACCGCACTATTCTCCTCAATGGCAAAGAGTTGGAGTGGGACAGTGATTCAGGTGTTGCTCTCAAAAACTCCCTGGTGTTCTCTCCGGAGGCACAGAAGTTTGCTATAGCCCGAGAAGTGGCCCGACTGGGGGCTGGGGGTCCCTTGTTTCATGCTGCAGTGGCTCCAGCATGTCTGGCATGGACTTGTATATATAGCGTAGCCCTCAAGCAGATCTTTGGGCTCCAGGCTGGGTCCATCATCTTCAGGGCTGGTGTTAATGTGTTTGCTGTGGGTTTAGGGGTCGTGTCTTATATCCTGGCTTCTGATGCTCTGAGCCAGTGGTTGGACTATAGCTCAGACCACCGTGCAGCATGTCTGTCAAGTGATTATGCAAAGGGTGGCTTTGAGTTCTATGACAAAATCTTGACACGGAACAAGACCCTGCGCTCTCTAATGGGCTCAAAAGGGGAAGAGATGTACGCCCACAGTGGAAACTTGTTTCCTGGACATCTGCTGCAACTCAGACATGCCCCTTACACATCTAGACGGGATAGGATTTTAAATCTTTTAAAAAATGAGAAAGTATGAACTGTCTGAATATATTTAAAAGCATGTATGTGCTTACATTAGCTCTTGGATTCTACCATGTGAAAACCATACTGCGATACTGCATTTGAATGTGAGACTGTATATGTACAGTGCTTTTGAAATGGTGCAACACACCTTTATATAACTTGTCTTCCCTTTCTCACCAGTAAACAATTTACCTTAAGTCCATCATGCTCTAGTCTACATCTGTCAAAGTATCATGCTGCTGATTAGTTTACATTATAATCAGTAAGAGACATATTATGTATGCCATATACCATACATATTTACGTATAACATCAGAGTGACATGAAAAACAAATTGACGTTGAAATGTGTTAACATGTTGAATTTTTAAAGTATGTTTGCTGATGATACATGCCTACATAACAGCCATAGTGTGATGGTCAGCCAAAGGATGGATGCCAAAAAAAGATGTTTGAGAGGCAATCTTGCTCAAGCACACATTGGGTGTGGACGTTTCCCGGTCCTTACATACTAGATCACTCATTCTGTAATGACATTTCCAGTAGGTTTGGCTTTCTGCTTTCTCACATGACTCCCTGAAATCTGTTTTACTGTAAGTTTTTTTCCTCAAGCTAATAGCTCATTTCCAACTAAAATCATGCAGTATAGTCTTTTGTCATATTGTGAGATTAATATTCTGTTCACTGTGAAGTTTTAGATACAGTTCATAATTCAAGAATTCCTAGCTATTAACATATTTATTATTACTTTAAACACAGTACTGAGCCTAAACGTAACACAGCATGTTAAGATAGTCAACTAAATAAATGAGACTCAAATACATACACAAACTTTTAAAGGGGTCATATGTTGCTTTTTTAAAGATAATTATTTTGTGTATTTGGTCTAACAGAATATGTTGACATGCTTTAATGTTCAAAAAACACATTATTTTTCAAATACTGTACATTATTGTAGGTCCTCTATGCCCCGCCTCTCTCAAACGCTTCGTTTTCTACAAAGTCCCGCCTTCTGACAAGCGCAGTCTGCTCTGATTGGCCAACTGACCCAGTGCATTGTGATTGGCCAAACACCACAAGCACGCGTCGGAAATGCAACGCCCCTTACCATAATCGCGAGCATCAGCTTTCAAAGTAAATATCAAGACAGTTAATAATGTCGTTAGTTTTACCATCAGTTCAAGCCCGAAAGGGCAACAGAGTCGCGTGACAGACACAGTAATGATGCAGTACACAAGCCGCGGTTAAGACAGCTGACGTGCTATGATTTCTGACAGGCTGTTCACTCTCCTGTGATGTGACCCTGTTCCCCTCACACACACACACACACACACACAC